ATGTAACTTGTACACAAACCAGACGTGTTTGCCTGGTTTGTTTACATTACTCCGCACCTGTCCTTTCTCATGCACGCATTCTCTCTGGGCAAAATCGCCGATGCGTAAACATCGTCAAGACCGCTAACTTCGCGAGAGCATAATTCCGTAAGTTTTCCAACAAATTTCATACTTTTGGTGTCATTATGATCGGGAAAAGATTCTCTATCTTTTCATAAGAAAAAAAAACTTTTTTTTTTTTTTTTTGAAATTTGGCCGACCCTGAGAAAAAGTTTCGGAGAGGGCCTGTCTTCCCTCAAAGGGTTAAGTGCCAAGTTAGAGGATGATGGTGTGCCATTCTGATTTTATTCAATAAACACCCTGCCACTCACCTCTCACACATTAATATTAATGTTTTAAGGTAAGTAATAAGTGTACTCTGTGTGTATCTTACCTTTTATTGTATTTTTAATGCTTATTTCTGTTGCTAACTCAATACAAGTTAGTGTAAACTTGTTGTCTGGCATTTATTGCATATTTTATATGTGCTCTGATAATAATACTTGTGGACCTGTGTGGTAGCCGTGTGGAGGGACAACATTACGTTTTCTCTGCTCAGCCATCAGAGAAAACGTTTACGAATCTGCGTTTAGCCCAGCCACTCCCTCACTCCGTTTTTGTTTACAATTTTCGGCATGAGTTATTCATTACTTCTACCTTCGTTTATGATGGCATCTAGAGGTAGTTGTTAGAAATGATTAAATTCAGTGAACAAGGCATGTCGATGTTAATAATATGGCTCTGGCCCACAGTCTAGGTAGCCGGTAGGTGTAGCCCAGGCGGGCTACACCTACCAGCTACCTACACTGACTTCCTACAAATAAATACTACTCGCCTCTCTTCCTATATTAAGACTACACATATTTTAAGGTAAATAATGAGTGTACTGTATGTGTATTTTACCTCTCTGGGATGTTTTAAATATCGTATACATGTATTAAGTATGAGACAGGGACCCAGGGCTACCTGCACCTGACTTCCTACAAATAAGTACAGTGGTCCCTCGCTTTTCGTAGTTCTCGGCAATCGTAAATTTCGCCAATCATAGGGGTATTTTCGTATAAACATGGACTCGCTTTTCATAGGTTGACTCGCGAATAGTAGTTCGTACGGGACGCGTACGCACGGTGTGAGCCAAGGCGGCCTCCCTACCCAGCCAGTCTGGCATTGTTTACCAGTGAGTGAAGGTCCCCTCAAGTGCTCCTATGAAATATTTCATATTATTCCACTCATTTTAGTGCTTGCAAGTACTAAATAAGCTACCATGGCTCCAAAGAAAGCTCCTAGTGCCAAGCCTGTGGTAAAGAAGGTGAGAAATATGTACAGTGACAAAGTCTTGGGCCATTTTAGGGAAGTGTTAAAGAGACGCCAGAAACAGAGCTCTCTCCACATTTACTTTGCGAGACAGGACTAGAGTGACTCTCAAGGTGGTCCTAGTGGCATTAAGAAACAGAGAAGAGAAGCAATTGGTACCTGAGGTGTTGCTGGAAGGGGATTCCCCTTCCAAACTGTAAACAATCCAATCTCTCTCCTCCTCTAGTCTCCCATACACTAAGAAGAATCTCCAATAAAGGTAAGTGTTATGCTGTTAATGTTTCATTCATCATTTCCCATTGTATTGTTTATGTACTACATGTATATTTCATGTAAAAAAATTTTTTGTTTTAATACTTCTGGGTGTCAGGAACGGATTAATTGTATTTACATTATTTCTTAGGGGGAAAATTGATTCGCAAATCGTAAATTACGTTTATAGTAGCTTCTCCAGGAACGGATTAATTACGAAAAACGAGGGACCACTGTACTACTCGCCTATCTCCCTACATTAACCCTTTGACTGTCGCAACCCCCAATCCTGAGGTGTCTCCTGGTGTCGCAAAATTTAAAAAAAAAAAAAAAATCTTATGAAATGATAGAGAATCTTTTCCCGATTGTAATGACACCAAAAAAAACGAAATTTGATGGAAAATTGACGGAATTATGCTCTTGCGAAGTTAGCGACCTCGGCGCTGTTTACAAATCGGCGATTTCGCCCACTTTGAGCCCTATTTTCGGCTAGTTCCATTGTTCCAGTCGCCCAAACTCATAGCTATTTCTTTAGAACTCCATTTTTTTCTATCGATTGAGTACAAGAAACTGCCCATTTACCGATTTTAACTACCTAATAATGTGGTCAGAAATTTGCAATTTGGCCAATTTCACGAAAACTAAAAAATATGACAATTTCAAAATAAGGTCCAGAATGAACAATGCACACATTCCTGGCTCTAAAATAACATTTTCTTTGCTCATCAGTCATGTCTCCAGGTCCCTCTGATATTACTCTTGCTTTCTATTTTGAATTTTTATTCAAACAAAAAATAGAGGACTCACTATTATGCAGACTACTGCAATACTGTAATAATTGTATAAATAACATCAACCCATTCATGACTGCATATTAGAATGGCTAGTTGGACATTTATTGGAGAATGGCATCATTTGTTTACTTTTGAACATTGGCAAAAATCAAACATTTCCCCTACTTTGAGCTCCATTTCTAGGTTCTTTTTATAGTAAAATCAATCAAAATCACCTCTATTTCTATAATATGTTTTCTATTCTATCAAATGAGACCAAGAAAACGAGAATACAACCATAAATACTATAAGAAAATAGACCTCAAATTCGGCATTTTAACCCTTTGAGGGTCGACAGGCCCTCTCCGAAACTCATTCTCAGGGTCGGCCAAATTTAAAAAAAAAAAAAATTATTTTCTCTTATGAAAAGATAGAGAATCTTTTCCCGATCATAAAGACACCAAAAGTTTGAAATTTGATAGAAAACTTACGAAATTATGCTCTCGCAAATTTAGCGGTCTCGGCGATGTTTACGCATCGGCGATTTTGCCCACTTTGAGCCCCATTTTCGGCCAATTTCGCTGTACTAGTCGACAAAAAACATGAATATTTCGCTAGAACTCCATTTTTTCTATCGAATGGGTGCAAGAAACCACCCATTTATGAAATTCAACTATCCAGTACAGTGGTCAGAATTTAGCAATTTTGCCAATTTCACACAAATTTCAAAAGATGCCAATTTCCGAATAGGGTCCACAATAAACAAGAAAGACATTCCTGGCACTAAAATGACATTTCCTCTAGTCATTAGTCACGTCTCAAGGCCCCTCTTATATTCTTTTGCTTTCCATTTTGAATTTTTATTCTCACAAAAAATATAAGATTTACTGTTATGCAGACTACTGCATTAGTGTAAAAAATGGTATAAATATTTATTGGTGCACTTGTGAAAGAATATTAGACTCACCAGTTGACATGTATTGCACGCTTGGCACGATTTGTTTACTTTTGAAGTTTGGTAAAAATCGAACATTTCTGCTACTTTGAGCTCAGTTCAAGGCACCTTCTTTGTAAAACCAGCCAAAATCATCTCATTTTTCTGTAATATGTCTTCCATTCTAAAAAAATGAGACCAAGAAACTAGAATACAACAATAAATACTATACGAAAATACACTGCAAAGTCGCTGATTTATTCCAAAAAAATGGTCAAAGTTTTTTTTTTCTCATTATGCACTGTGTGCTGCAGGATTTTTTTTAGACTGTGCACACTGACCACATAGACCCATTCTTTCATATGAAGGCCTACCAGCTTTCTCCCACTAGATTTGAGGCCGCTAGAATTTATGCGTACTAGTACGTCAAAAACCCCTACGCGTAAAACGTACTAGTACGACGAAAACCCTCAAAGGGTTAATTAAAAAAACGGTCGGAGTTTTTTTTTTCTCATTATGCACTGTGTGCTCCAGGATTTTTTTTATATGGTGCACACTGACCACACAGACCCATTCTCTCACATGTGGGCCTACCAGCTTTCTCCTGCTTGATTTGAAGCCGCTAGAATTTATGAGTATATATACGTCAAACACGGTACCTCGTAAGACTTATATATACGGCCGCGACAGTCAAAGGGTTAAGATTACAAATACTTTAAGATAAGTAATGAATTTACTGTGAATGTATTTTACTTTGTGTGTTTTTAATGCCTAGTTCTATTGCTAACTTAATATAATTTAGTGTAAACTTGTTGTCTGGCATTTATAAATTGAAAAAAAAATGGCGTTCTGCCTTCTGACAATGTCTGCTTTCCGGCAACAGCCTGGAACCTGACCCGCCATATAAGTGGGGCCCTACTGCATATGCATTTTTTTTAGGCCTACCTATATTGCTCACTTAACCCTTAAACTGTCCAAACGTAGATCAAAGTCCACATGCGGGAGGGGGGGCTCCGAACGTAGATCTACGTTTTTTTTTTTTTTTACATGCTTTCAAATGGGGAAAATCAAGGTCAGAGCAATATGCACGTGAACGTAGATCTACGTTTGGACAGTTTAAGGGTTAATGTATGTTAATGTAAACATGTTACGTGTATCATGCTTTTATATATGAAAGTAAAAAAAAGGCTGTTTCACTTTACAGCAATTTTTGCATTGCAGCAGTAGCCCAGAACCTAGCCTGCTATATAAGCAGGGCCTGCTTGTACTGAGAGGAATTGACAAAGTGGACAGGGTTAGTATGTTTCAAAGATAGGACACTGGAACAAAAGGTCACAACTGGAAGTTGAACACTCAGATGAATCATAGGGATGTTAGGAAGTATTTCTTTAGCCTTAGAGTTGTCAGGAGTTGGAACAGTGTGGAAAGTCAAGTAGTGGAGGCAGGATCCATACATAGCATTAAGAAGAGGTATGAGAGAGAGTGGCCTAGTAATGACTAGCAAAGATGCAGGGCCAGGTGTTGCGAAAGACCCCTGCAACTACATGTAGGTGGGTACGTATACATGCATGTACACATGCTTGTGCAGAAATACACACACACACTAGAGCTAGTTTCATGCAAAAAAAAAATAATTTTTTTTTTTAGAGATGTGTAGTTTAACTTTACATAATGTATTATGTTTGCAGGTGCTGCTCAACTTTCTGCATGTGAAGGGTTACCCTGCTGACGAGTATAAGTGTCTACAGTCCTGGCCACGACGAGATGTAAGTACTACCTTCACTCATTGGTCACTGATGGTGCACCAGATAGTGACATACGTACTACTCTCACTCATTAGTCACTGATGGTGCACCAGATAGTAACGTAAGTACTACCCTCACTCATTGTTCACTGATGGTGCACTGGATAAAGAAGAGTGATTTAGCTAGCATCTCCACAGCTGACCTATATGCAATTTTCCTAGCGATTATCCATTTTGTGTCCAGGCCTCTCTCATCATTTGTGGTAGTCTCGGACTCCTTTAGTGCCTTGCAAGCCATCAAAAAATTTAATTTGCCTCATCCTCTAGTTCTTTGTATGCAACTTTGGTTGCTCTGCATTTCTAGCAAAAACAAAGAAATCATTTTCTGCTGGGTCCCTGGTCATGATGTTCAAGGCAATGAGCAGGCAGACTGCTGTGCAGTCAGCAGTACACACCCTTCCCATTTCATTTAGAGGTATTCCATTCTCAGATTATTTTGTTGTAATCTTTAACCACCTTCACAACCATTGGCAACAGCATTGGTCTGAAATGATTTATAGCAAATTACACACTATCAAGCCGAATTTAGGATCCTGTTCGACTTATCATCGATATTGTAGTTGGGAGACTATGCTTTCCCATCTTCGCATCGAGCACACACATCTCACTCACAGGTATCTCATGGACAAGTGCCCCAGTTCCACTCTGTGAGAACTGTCAGGTTTCAGTTTAAGTTTGCCATATTCTGTTGGACTGTCTTGTCTATCAGTGAGCATGCAGAATTTACCATCAATGTCATCACTGCTCTAACACTCATACTTTATCTTCACTCCTCGCTGATGGCCCCCACCTTTGACACATTCCCTTTTTGACTTTAACAGTAACAGATTTATTACACAACCTTTGATTATACTTCCTTTAGCACTCCTTACTGCCCTTACAACCTCTACCCTGCAGGGCTATTTGACCCCAGTGGTTTTGCACTTAGTTTTGATTATAATAATCTGACAAAACCCTAACTCTATTGGACTTTGAAAAAGCCAGTGGCAACATGCCCATGCATTCTACCCCAGGCACAGACTCCTGGAGCACTGTGTTAATCAAGAGCTGCCAAAAACCTCTTTCACATGCCCTAAGTATGCTATGGAGGGAGCCTGGAGATGGGTGTCACCCCATTGTCACTAAAAACTATGGATATTGCCCCACTCCATAAAGGTGGCATCAGAGCAATAGCAAATAATTATAGGCCAATAGCCTGACATCCCACAGTAAAGAATTTTGAAAGTGTTCTAAGCAGCATGATTGCCCCCCCCTAACTATCATCCCCCACCATCAACCTCCACCATAAGAACATAAGAATGGAGGAACACTGCAGCAGGCTTATTGCCCCATTCAAGGCAGGTCCTTATCAAAACCACCTATGTATTTGTCCAGCCTTTCCCCAAAGCTACCCAAGAATTTGATCTCATACCCCAGGTGCCGGTCAAATCCAGCCCCTCCCACCCATGTATTTGTCCAATCTCTTTAAAGCTACCCAAGGTCATAGTCTTTTACGCTACTCGGAAGATTGTTCCATGCATCGACAACTTTGAAAACCAATACAGTGGACCCCCGAGTTTCGTGATTAATCCGTTCCAGAGAGTCTGCCGATTGGCTAAATTCACAATTGGCGAATCTATTTTCCCCATAAGAAATAATGGAAACCCAATTAATCCGTTTCATACAGCCAAAAGTATTAACAAAAAATAATTTTTTTAAAGATTAAATATAGATTTATAGACAGAAAACAATGACAAATAAATATGTATAAAGCACTAATAAAATGGATAAATAAACATTTAACATTACACTTAAGCTTTGTTGATTCTTGTTGGTGTAGGCGGTAGAAAGGAGGCAGGAGGAAGGCGAGTTTATTATGCTTCAATATGACACTAATATCATCTCTACGGCTGAATTATCTATCACAATTCATCTAATATGACGTTATAAACAATATTAATAACATAGAAACATGATATATACTCGAGAATGAATAAAATATGTTATAATGTATGAGATCACAGCAAAGAGACTGAATAATCCCTGGCTAACACCAATAAATCGATAAATCCTGCACAAGGGATGAACATAGAGAACATATCATAGCCAAATTTAAATCAAATGACCTGCAAAAACCCCTCACAATTATAAACTCTACAAGTACCACAGTCAAACAAAACCTTTTTGGAAAAAACAGGAAAATGATTACGTAAACCATGAATAAAGACCCCCCTACTACAAACAGGAATTTAATTAAACTACTCACGACCAGGACCCACAAGTAATGAATTCAAAAACACAATGAGTAACTCCCTGTTACAACAAAAATTTTAAAAAACCACAAAATCCCCGAGACACCCTCTCCTCAAAGACCCATCGGGACAAACACCATATCCCCTTTAAAACGGGCTAACACAGACGACACTACAGACCACACCCAACCTTCTCATAACAATCTGGCAAACTCCCCACAAGACATCACTAAAGAAACCAAAACCTACACAAGAGACAGCAGTTAACAACTTTTTGAGTTAAAAACATCGATTGGAAAAATAAAACTCGAAACATATAAATAGAATGAATGATAAATAATTTTCTAAAAAAGCCCAAAGCCTCATGACAAACATTCCCCCCCAAAAAACAAAACAGATCCCCAGAAAAGAGACGAAAATCCCTGGCTAATCCCAAGCATCCTCAAATCCATTAACACAAAGCCAAATATGAAAAAAGTATAGAATGGATCAAAAATAGAAAACATCTAAACTTTCTCGCCCCACTTACCACCTGATAAGAAGATCTAAAAAATTGTATTTGAAAAAGACAAATAACACAAAGGGTGATATGAAAAAACCTGAAAACTCTATCTGAAATTCTTGGAAAAAAAAATTTTATCCAAAAACAAAACAATCAAACTAAAAAAATCAGATAAACCCCCTACTCACACCTACTGAAACAAAATAGACTCATTGTTTTTTTCTCCACCATGGGTAAAATCTAGCAAACAAAATCCCAAAAGCAAAACACCAGTCCATCAGATCCCTCTAGGTACCTCCCCAAATACACTTTTCCTAGCTCCACCCCCCATAGAAGTTAAAACTCATCTAAACACCTTTAAAAAAAAAAGGCAGGAGAATAAACAGCTTGCCTGTTTTATGTACAAAAAAGTTCTCAAGTATTGTCACCAATTAAATTTCAACACTCTTTAAAAAAATCCATTGAATCAGCTACCTTCCCAAAACCCCAAAAACGAGGGTCACTCCAATTCACAAAGGGGGTGACCCGCTGAATTAAATAACTATAGAAAATATCTAACTTACCACTGCTCTCAAAATCTTTGAAAATTAATTCTAGAGGATCATTCCTACCTCGTCTACACAACATATAAACCCTTTTCATTTGGATTCAGGAATAAAAAAAGCACGAATGATGCTATCAACACATCTGAACTAAAAAATTTCAGCACTCAAAAAGAAAAAGTCCCGCTGGGCATTTTCATTATTTACGTAAAAAATTTCAATAGTCGACCCGAACTGCTTTTTATCCAAATTAATGCACAATACAGAGACCCCTCCCCCAAAACCCAAAAACGTACCCTTAGTAAAAGAACCAATATGTGTATGAAATGATGCAAAAAATTCCACCCAACCCGCACAGTAGGGTCCCCCAAGGAACGTCCCCTTGGGGCCCCCCTCTTTCTTCTACAACAATGATCACCGAATGCACGCAGTTTTCAAACCCCTATTATTTTCAGATGACACACATAGTCTTTTCCCACCCAAAAACGGCAAAAGCAAAACACGTCAATGCCCAATTGCAGAAAATATAGCCCGGTGTGATAATAAAAATTTTTCCCCCGAATACTGATAAAACCTTTTTCATTTAGTTTGGAAATAAAGCTGCAAAGATCCAATTAACATAAGCTAAAAGGATCATCAGTCACAAGACTCACAAGGGAAAAAATTTCCCAGGGACCACCTTGACAGAGCCTTAGTTCCGGATCACAAAACAAATCACCCAAAAAAATCCCAAGACTGTAGGCATATTATCAAAGAAAGTCTACTTCCACAATAAACTTCCTGGCACTGTACCATACACTCATAACCCTTATCTTTAAAATGGAAAAATTTGCATGGGGATCAACAAATCCAATCACCTAAAACCCCCATAACCCCAGAAAAGGCAGCAGTAAGAAAGTAACGAATTCCCCCCTCCCCCCGCCCCAACTCCCCAATTTTCAAGTTGAATCCGCTCACCATTAAGAACACCATATTATTCATTCCAAATACATACACGAACAATCAGTATATAAACCCTCTACTCAAACTTCTCACCAACTTAACGGGACACAGACCACAAAAAAAACAGATCTTTTTTTTTATAAACCTCGGCCCTTTTCACACTGGTAAAAACTCTATGCCATAAAGGGCCCCAAAAATAGGAATTCTTTCCAGAAGATTAAAAACCCCTTTTTGGGGGTTTTGGTCGTACTAACGCTTATGGTGGGGGTTTTTGTCGATTGACGCAAAATTTAGCGGGCCTAAAATCTCGCGGGAAAAGGCTGAAAGCCGATGTGAGAGAAGGGGTCTGTGGGTGGGTGTGCCAGTGGGAAAAAAAAAATCTGGGACCCAGGGTGTTTGGGAAGCCACATATACCAATTTCCACGGCCCCTGGGGTAAAAATTCTCCTCCTCGGCGTTTGGGACATTTTTTTCCCAGTGACATTCAATACAGTGGAAAGTGACAGTGAAGATGATTTTAAAGGGTTTTTGGTGAGTTTTGACCGAAACTAATGACCAAAAAATGGTAATAGTGAGGAAAACCCAGACAACCCCCAGCCTTTTCCCCTCTGGGGCTGGGATCTTGTTCACGTTTTAAATTTTACCAGAATCAAAAAAGGGGAAACCCTATTTCCAAAACCCCAGACTCAAGTGAGCATTGGTGATGATAGTGAAGTGATTTGAACTACAAGCCTTCAAAATTTTTC